CCTTCCCTGGAGGAGTGACCCATACTTTCATCCTTGAAGGGTCTGGGCCATTTGTTGTCCTGTCTGGATTGGGTTGTTGCAGTTTCCCATTGACCTTAATCACTGGACATGGTAACACCAAAAGTTGCCCTAAGGAATTTTCTGCCTTCTAGATATAATCTTTATTACCTCCATTGTGGAGAACCAATCCAATTTCCCCCTGGTAGTCTGGGCCAATTACCCCTCCTAATATTGTTATTCCTTTCTCAGCCTGCTGACTTAAGGGCATCAGAAGCCCAAAGTGTCCAGGGGGAAGTCTTAGCTTCCAGTTCAATGGAATGTTTGTTGTCTGTCCTGGCAGAAGCCCCCCCCCCTCTGGAACAAAAACATCCAAGCCAGTAGAGTGCAAAGTGGAGGGTACAGGAAGCAAAAATTTTCATAGTGGGTCACCAGGGGTGATAGTGAGTGGAATCATTCCCACTTCCACCTCTTGATTCCTGGACCCATAAATCCTGGCTATAGGCAAAACTGTACCATATATTGGACACTGATTCAAAGCATATACTGCCTTCTGGAGGACCCTGCCCCAGCCCTCCAGGCTACTGCCATCTAATTGGCTCTGTAACTACGTCTTTAAGAGGCCATTCCATCGTTCTATCAAGCCAGCTGCTTCAGGATGGTGGGGGAACATGGTAAGACCAGTGGATTCCATGACCATGGGCCCACTGTCGCACTTCTTTGGCTATGAAGTGAGCTCCTTGGTCAGAAGTGATGCTGTGCGGAATACCATGATGGTGGATAAGGCATTCTGTAAGTCCCTGGATAGTAGTTTTGGCAGAAGCATTATGTGCAGGAAAGGCAAATCCATAACCAGAATAACTGTCTATTCCTGTAAGGACAAAACACTGTCCCCTCCAAGATGGAAGTGGTCCAATGTAGTCAACCTGCCACCAGGTTGCAGGCTGGTTGCCACAGGGAACGGTGCCATATTGGCGGCTCAGTATTGGTCTCTGCTGTTGGCAGATCTGGCACTCAGCAGCAGCTGTAGCCAGGTCAGCTTTCGTGAGTGGGAGTCCATGCTGTCGAGCCCATGCATAACCTCCATCTCTGCCACCATGGCCACTTTGTTCATGGGCCCATTGAGCAATGACAGGGATAGCTGAAGAAAGAGGCTGACAATCCACAGAGCGGGTCATCCGATCTACTTGATTATTGAACTCATCTTCTGCTGAAGCCACTTTTTGATGAGCATTTACATGAGACACAAGTATGTTCACATCCTTTGCCCATTTGGAGAGATCTATCCACATACTTCTTCTTCCCCAAATGTCTTTCTCACCAATTTTCCAATCATGCTCCTTCCAAGTCCCTGACCATCCAGACAACCCACTGGCTACAGCCCATGAATCAGTATATAATTGCACTTCTGGCCATTTCTCCTTCCAAGCAAAGTGCATGACCATATGCACTGCCTGAAGTTCTATCCACTGTGAAGACTTTCCTTCCCCAGTGTCCTTCAGGGTTGTTCCAGAAATTGGCTGTAATGCTGCAGCTGTCCACTTCTGAGTAGTGCCTGCTCAGCGTGCAGAACCATCTGTAAACTAAGCCCTAGTCTTCTCTTCCTCAGTCAACCGATCATAGGGCACACCCCATGAAGCCATAGGTGCATGCTTGAGAACAGGAGGCATCATAACAGGAGTAGGAACCATAGGCATTTGGGCAACTTCTTCATGTAACTTGCTTGTGCCCTCTGGGCCTGCTTGAGCCCGATCACATATATACCACTTCCATTTGACAATGGATTGTTGCTGTGCACGGCCTACTTTGGCTTGGTGGTTCAGTTTCCACTAAGGCCCAATAGCAGGCTAAGAGCTGTCTCTCCAAGGGAGAATAGTTGTCCACAGATGAAGTTAAAGCCTTACTCCAAAATCCCACTGGTGCTTGTGCCCTCTGGGCCTGCTTGAGCCCGATCACATATATACCACTTCCATTTGACAATGGATTGTTGCTGTGCACGGCCTACTTTGGCTTGGTGGTTCAGTTTCCACTAAGGCCCAATAGCAGGCTAAGAGCTGTCTCTCCAAGGGAGAATAGTTGTCCACAGATGAAGTTAAAGCCTTACTCCAAAATCCCACTGGCCTCCGCTGCAATTCCTCTATGGGGGCCTGCCAGAGACTCCAAACAGCATCTTTATCTGCCACTGATACCTCAAGCACCATCAGATCTGCTGAATCGTATGGCCCAAGGAGCAGCAGCTTGTACAGCAGCCTGGACCTGTTGAAGGGCCCTTTCCTGTTCCAGGCCCCACTCAAAGGCCTTCCAAGTCACTTGATATATGGGTCATAGTAACACACCCAGTTGAGGAATGTGCTGCCTCCAGAATCCAAACAGGCCCACCAGGCATTGTGCTTCTTTCTTGTTGGAGGGAAGGGCCAAGCAACAACTTATTCTTCACCTTAGAAGGAATGTCTATACATGCTCCACACCACTGAACTCCTAGAAATTTCACTGAGGTAGAAGGCCCTTGAATTTTGGTTGGATTTATTTCCCATCCTCTCATGTGCATATGCTTAACCAACAAGTCCAGATTGTCTGCTACCTCCTGCTCACTGGATCCAATCAGCATAACATCATCAATATAGTGGACCAGTGTGATATTTTGTGGAAGAATCAGGCAATCAAGAGCCCTTCAAACCAAGTTATGGCACAATGCTGTGTTGGGCCTCTGGGACCCTTGAATGCTTGGCATTGAAGACAGTGTGGCCTGTAGTACTTTCCTAAGCCAGGCTAAAGTTTAGTGACCTGTCTCTGGCCTGTCACTTCTGCGTGGAGGTGACTCAGCAGAGCCCTATCTATGATTGCCTCTTCCCAGTAACAACTGGCATAATAAATTCCCAGTGGCCCACAGTCTTCGCTCCAGATGACAAATTCCTATACCCACCCCCTTTTCCACACCCCTTTTGCTTAAACTATATAAGTTGATGCCTGATGCAATAAAATTAGTTCCTGCCTCGACAAGACTCCCGACTCGGTGTGGTTTTTGAGTTGCCGACACTCACCATCCCGCTCAGCCTCTAAGAGAGGGACCCAGGCTGATCCTGGACTCTCCCCCTGTGCCGTACCTGTCAGAGAGCTTCCGACAGACTGGTGCCCCGTGTGAGGAAGCTATCACAAAGTTCGCTGACGGGCCAATCGGTCTGCAGGTGAGTGTACCGCCATAAATTATGGGGAAGTCCAGTTCTAAGCCTGACCCCTCTTTAGATTCCCTCAGGGTCCTGTTCAAAAGCAGGGGCCTTGACCTCTCAGACAGCCAAGCTCTCTAGGCAAGGGGATGCTTGCTAAAGATCGCACCCTGGCTTCCAGAGAGCAATCTCTTTGATTGGGATACTTGGGATAGAGTTGAAAAGTTGATCAGATGGGCCCAGGTAGAAAAAGGGGAGATCCCCCCTCTGGGAGCGCTCCCCACAGTGTCAGCCTTAAAAGGCTGCTTCCCTCCCCACCCTCCAAAATCAAAAGCAGTGGGGGCCCCGGCCAAGGCTGCTGACCTGGTCCAGGAGATGCCACCAAGCCCAAAGCCTGATCCTAGGCCCCCAGGCCATACGGATCCACCGGACCGTCCTGAACCCTTCTACCCCTCCCTCGATCCTTTTGGGAGTGCCCCTTGGCCCTGCAAGGGCCCCACTCAGGCAGACTCTCAGACCAACCCATTCTGGACTCCCTCTGCCCCTCCCCCGTACAAAAAAAAAAACTGAGCTGATAAGCACCTTGGCCTTTAAAGTCAAGGGAAACAGACTCTGCTAAGAAGCAGCCTGACTTTCCTCTGATCTCCAAAGACAAGATAAGCAGATTCTACCTGTTAACCAGGGATTTTAGGAGCTGTTTGGCACAGCAGCTTTTCCTTTATCTTAAGAGGACAAAAAAATACTCTGCTTTTCCTGCTTCCCCCTGCTCTCCCAGTCCACAGTCCATCTCCGCCTCCGGGCCCACTACCTCGTTTCCTTGTACTTTGGCTCCATCTACTGGCTGGTCATGCACCACGTTAAAGAACCTCTCCTCATTTTACTTGCTCGAAAGCACACCGGGTGTGTGGGAGGTCCCGCCCTGCCTTTGATTACAGGACGCTGTGCTCACTGGCAGTGACATGCACAACACACGCTCATATTTCCCCTCCCCAGGACGCTGCCCTGGGGTTCCGGAATTTAACTCGAATCCACAGCAGGAGAAAAGGATGCTTTTCTTTTGTTGTCTGATTCTTCTCGTTCTCATTTTTACGTGACCTAAGCCAAACCTTTCTCTTCCTGTTTTCTCCTCCCTCCCTCCCCCCCTCTCTCCCCCCTGTATGCTACTCCTTCCCGCTCTGACTCCTGACTCCGCCTCTGTTCCCTCAGGGCAAAAATCCTCTTTGTTCCCCTACCTGCCTGCTGAGGCCTTTAACTCCTCTTTGGTGTCCACGTAATCCATTGCTATGGGAACCAAGCATTCAAAGTCTCAAGCTCTCATGCCTCTTGCTTGTCTTCTTAAATCCTTAAAGCAACTAAAACTGTCAGGCACAATCAGGGCAAAATGCCTAAAATTCTTGTGCCTCACTACAAACTAGATAATAACTCTGTTTGGCCAAACACTAAAACCAAGTTCAGGCTATAGGATTAGCTGCCTGGTGAAAACTAGATGAGGGTCCCATGGAGTCCCCAATATCAGAAATCAATCAAAAGGCCACAGAGGACCTCCCCTCTTTGTCCCACACCCCTGGCAACTGGTGCCCAGTCCATCCTTACTGGGTGTGAGTGGGCAGTCTATGTCGTGGGAGATTGCTACTTGGCTACCCTGGGTAGATCCCAACAGGAGTCATGGAGAGGTGCACCCTCTTGTGGTCTCTGGCCTAACTGCCAACCTTTTAGGTCAGGACATTCTGGGTGAGGCTGAGGCTTTTATCACTACTGACCATAAGGCCTTCTATAATGATCTCCTAGACACAGAAGAATACGAACAACAGTTCAGAGAGGGCCAGATAAGCCACCCCAACTATAGGGACGACCCCTACTTTGAGCACCTCAAAGACACTCTCAGGTTCACCCCCAATTCTAAGGGCCACTGCTTGCCAATCGGTAATCCAAATTCAGTGGACACCTGGGGACCCAGTAAGGGTTGAGCAGTGGCCTCTCCCTTCACAAAAGCTTCAACACCTTTATCAACTGGTCAAACAGCAATTAGATCTGGGGCATGTAAGGCCATCAACAAGCCCCTGGAATTCTCCTGTGTTTATCATTAAAAAAGCCAACGGCTCCTGGAGACTATTACAAGATCTTAGAAAAATTAATGAGAGAATGATACCTTCAGGGACCCCCCAGAGGGGGCTCCCCTGGATTCCAGCAATCCCCAAAACATACCACTTAACTATTATTGATATTAAGGACTGCTTTTTCTCAATTCCCCTCCACCCTGAAGATACAAAAAAATTTGCATTCTCCATACCCTCAACCAATTTTCGTAGGCCGGATTTAAGATTTGAATGGACTGTCCTGCCTCAGGGTATGGCCAACAGTCCCCCCATTTGCCAGTATTACCTAGCCCACATTTTCGCCTCACTGATGGGGCGGCCGGATGTTTTATTTTATATTTATATGGATGATATAATTCTGGGAAGCCCCGAGCCTTCCAGTCTCCACGAGCTAAACTCTGTCTCGCTATTCTTCAGGAAAACAACTTTAAGGTGCCCCCAATAAAATTCAGAGTATCCTTCCTTTCAAGATACTAGGTACCACCTTATCTATGGACACTGTTTCCCCCATAAAGCTTCAGCTCACCATTCAGGACAATTATAATCTAGCCCAACTCCAAAAATTACTAGGGGAAATTAATTGGCTGAGGCCCTGGATACCCATCTCTACTGAAGAGTTAATTGCATTATTTGATCTCTTGTGGGGCCTTGACTTAGCCTCCAGAGTGGTTTTACCACCTCAGTGCCAACAAATTCTAGCCAAAGTCCAACAGTCCATAAATGAGGCCACTTTAAAAAGGTTCAATCCTGACACCCCAATGTCTCTTTATCTTTTCATTGGAAGCAGAGCCCCTCGAGTTTATCCCATGACCAGCCAAATTGCCAACTGCATTATCAAGGGTAGGGACACAGCAGTCCAGTTGTTTGGTATTGAGTCCCATTCCATTATCACTCCCTGTAGATTGACAAATTTTACCTGGCTTCAAAAAAATAATGAGAGAATTGGCTTGGCTCTAGAGAAATTTCTTGGCAAGATTGACTGCCACTATGGTCCTTATAAGTGGATAAGCTCCTTCTCAAGGTTGGAGTGGGAGCCCCCCAGACTTTTTCTTTCTCAACCTGACCCTAAATTCCTAACTGTATTTACTGATGGGGGACGTCTAGGAGCCTCTTTGGTCATCTACCCGGCCCTGGAACAGGGACAAACTCCCATGTCTATTAAATCAATCTCTCACCAAGTTAAAGGGTTGCCACAGTTTAAAGAACTCTTTGCCATTGTCATGACATTAGACTCCATATCAGACCCCTTCAACCTGTTCTCAGACAGCCTGTATGTGGTTAATTTACTGCCCAACCTAGTGGAGGCCCATATTAGATTAGACTCCAACCCCATTATCTCCTCTGATGATTCAGGCCCATACTCTACTTAAACTTAGGGTAAATCCAATATTTCTCCAACATCTTAGAGGCCACCAAAATTTGCCAGGGTTTCTATCAGAGAAAAATAAAATAGCTAATCAGCTGGCCTCTTCACATCAGTGTCACACAGTCGCTGAGGCGACCCAATTTCATCAATTGACACGTCAGTTGGAGAGGGCTTAGACATAAATATCCCCATGTGACAGTCAAAGACCTAAAAAAAAAAATTGTACGCACCTGTTGATCTTGCCAACCTTTCTTTCAGGACCCCCTCTTCAAAATTCAGGTACCAACCCCAGAGGCCTTTGGCTTAACAACCTCTGGCAAATTGATGTCACTCACTATGCCCCTTTTGGAAAACTCAAATATATCTTCCCATCAGTTGATTCCTTCTCACGTGCCTGCTGGGCAACAGCACACACCAAGGAAAAGGCCAAACATACAATCAGTCACATGCTCCAACGTTTCGCCACCCTTGGACTGCCTGATCAAATTAAAACAGATAATGCCCCATGCTTTGTAAGCAAGCCTTTCTCAGAGTTCCTTCCAACATGGAAGATTTCACACTCCATGGGCATTCCTTATAACCCTCAGGGACAAGCCATTGTTAAAGGCTTCAACCAAACCCTTAAGACTCAGTTACAAAAACAAAAGGGGGAGTCCCTGCCCCTACATGATCAACTAAAAAAGGCCTTATTTACCTTAAATATACTAAATTTTTCCAAAGAAGACAAGTATTTGTCTCCCTTCCAAAAACATTGGTCCTCATCTACCAGCTACAGCTCCATTCTGGTCAAATGGAGAGACCTGCTCACTGGAGCCTGGTGGGGACCAGACCTGCTTCTTACAGCAGGAAGAGGGTTTGGGTGTGTATTTCCCGAAAATGAAAAGAGGCCCTTCTGGGTACCTGCAAGAGACATTAAATATTTTCCCTCACAGGACGATGAACGGGACAAAGATGACCAATAAAATACTATGATGGCACAACTTCACGATTAACAAATGCCAACAAAAGCAAAAGGTTAAACATGTAAAGCAGGGGATAAATGCCCTTGAATGGGCCTTTTTCTCTCTCTCTCTCTTGCAGAAAATGGAGTGCAAAATCCTCCTGATGCTGGCCCTCACCCTAAACTGTCTACAAATGAGGAGTCAAGCCTATGGGCTAGACAATCCACATCAACCCCAGAAGGTCACCTGGTTGGTGATCAATGTGGCCACATCAGATGCCATCAATAAAACTACTCAGATAACGCCCCCTTTTACGTGGTGGCCGGACCTGCAATTTGATCTCTATGATCTTGCCACTGGACGAGTAGGCCAAGGGAAAACCAGGCCGGAATGTGGAGACAGCGGGAAGGGATGCACCCTGCCACTCGTGGGATCCCCTAACTCTCCTGGCTGCTCGCATATCCTTAAAAGACATGCGTTGCTGTTGACAACATTCTATGTCTGTCCTGGGCCCAAAAGAACTGCATCGCAATTGCGTATTTGTGGTGTGGGGGGTGCCTTTTATTGTACAAGCTGGGGCTGTGAGAGCAGGGGGACAGGGTACTGGATTGAGGGTAAAAGACCCATCCGAGTTAGTAGGGTCAAGCAACAACAACTGTCTACAAACCCATTATATGGGTGATGTGCAAATTATCGTTGTAACCCCATACAGATCAGCTTTACAGACAGGGAAGAAAGGAAGGAGAATGGGAAGCTGGAAAGATGTTTGGGTTAAGACTCTATGTCTCAGGATATGACCCCAGCCTCCTACTAATGATCAGGAAGGTTGTCAAACCCCTGCCTTACCAGGAGACGGTGGGTCCGGCTCAGTTTCCACTGCCAAGGCCCACTACCCCTACACGTCGCTACTAGTCCAATGCCCGCCAGTAATACCCTGGCGTCAAAAGCATCTGTGCCTGGTAACCCTGGCCCGGGCTTAAGTGGGACCAAGCATGAAGACATTCATCAGGCAGTACAGCTTGCTTATACTTTTCTCAATGCCTCTAGACCTAAACTTGTTGACCCATGCTGGCTGTGCCTAGACGCCAGCTCTCCAATGGTGGAGGCCGTGGGGGCAATGAGAAACTTCACGAACACTACTCACAGTGATCAATGCTGATGGGGCGGGATCAGCACGAAAATTGGCGGGCTCACCCTGCCTCTTAAACATGACAAAAATATGACCTGTGTTACCCATGGGCACCCTGGTGGACA